TTTAGAATATATTCGAAGTAAATATAAATGTACTTCGATTTCTGATAAGAATTAACGCATTTCACTAGGTCGTATATTAGTTTATTCTTTTATTTTTAGAATATATTCGAAGTAAATATAAATGTACTTCGATTTCTGATAAGACTTAACGCATTTCACTAGGTCGTATATTAGTTTATTCTTTTATTTTTAGAATATATTCGAAGTAAATATAAATGTACTTCGATTTCTGATAAGAATTAACGCATTTCACTAGGTCGTATATTAGTTTATTCTTTTATTTTTATAATATATTCGAAGTAAATATAAATGTACTTCGATTTCTGATAAGAATAACGCATTTCACTAGGTCGTATATTAGTTTATTCTTTTATTTTTAGAATATATTCGAAGTAAATATAAATGTACTTCGATTTCTGATAAGAATTAACGCATTTCACTAGGTCGTATATTAGTTTATTCTTTTATTTTTAAAATATATTCGAAGTAAATATAAATGTACATCGATATCTGATAAGACTTAACGCATTTCACTAGGTCGTATATTAGTTTATTCTTTTATTTTTAGAATATATTCGAAGTAAATATAAATGTACTTCGATTTCTGATAAGAATTAACGCATTTCACTAGGTCGTATATTAGTTTATTCTTTTATTTTTAGAATATATTCGAAGTAAATATAAATGTACTTCGATTTCTGATAAGACTTAACGAATTTCACTAGGTCGTATATTTTTAGAATATATTAGAATTAACACATTTCACCAGGTCGTATATTAGTCTTCGAAGTAGAAACTTGTCCAGCAATACACGACTACCATTTTAACAATTATACGCTTTATCTATAGCTGTTCTAAAAAACTCACACAATTAAATTGTGTGAAGAACAACTAGAAATGAATCACAACACCGTGATCCACTGCAATATGTATCTACGCGAGACTTGTGTTGCAGCTCTTGCTGCTAGAGAACAGAAAAATATTGGTGGTGATAATAAGATTGTAGAAATAGACGAAAGTCTATTTTCAAAAAGAAAAAATAATATAGGTCACGTATTGCCACAGCAGTGGGTTTTTGGAGGCATCTGCCGTGAAACAAATGAGTGTTTTATTTTAACGGTAGGGTTTCTTTATTTTTTAATTATTACTTTAAGGCAGGAATTGTTACAATTATTACTTTTTAAGGCAGGAAACTTTTGCAAGCAATTGAAAATTACTTTAAGGCAGGAACAACTACATATAGCGATTCTTGGGAAAGGATATAAGACAAATGAAATCGAAGAGGCTGGCTTTGAACACTTCAAAGCATGAAAAGTTATATTAAGCATGAAAAGTTATACATATTTAGAATTAATGCTTTCAACTTAGACACAACTTTATTGATCCAAAGACTGGGTGTAATATTCAAAAATTGTAAAAAATGTGGAAAGCGCAAAATGGAGGAATAAGAAATATCGCGTGACATCACGACATCATTTGAAGAGTAAAATTTGTACGCAAAAACGTCTTGCAAAAACGGATAGGGATAACGGAGTAGTACCGATACTTGATATCTAATCAAAGAAAAAATCCCTGCTTTTAACTATAGAATATTTACGAAGCTTTCGGCTTTTGAAGACTGAATTGATTTGTGAAAATATGAAACGAGACATTATAATCCAATTAAAGGTTCTAATCCCATGATATTCTAGAAATTAATTATCAAATGTTGTCGAAAGTTTACGTTATTTGATTATTTGTAAAATAAATATATTTTTACTTAATTTTCTCTTTTCCAAATCAAAAGATATACTGTATCAGTAAGTACGAAGTATCCCTTTGCAAACAGGTAGATAGCGAGCTGGACATTTACCGTTATGTCTACCACTTCTAAAACTAACGACACCATATTTGTTATTTGTATTTAAAAATGGGGACACAGATAACCGACAAATACCTTAAATTCTAATTTACCCTTTTCTTTTTTATTAATCCCAACAAAGCAAAATCCTTCCTTACAAACTCTTTTTCCTTTCGTTGCTGTCCATTTGTTAAACTCTTTTTCCCAACAAAACAATTGACTTTCAAAAAATGTATCTGCATTACAAGCTGGTTTATTGTTACATTGGGCGCATTGAACATTACTCATATTTATTTTCTTTATTTTGTTTTGGAGTGTTAGATCTTTAGTCTTGATGTATGGAGAAAGGTTGAGAATCCCTGATGGACATTTTCCACAATCATAGTGGAATTGGTCTATCTTCTCGTCTAAATATTAAGGTTTATATTGTAGAAAACCGACCCTTAGAGTTCAGGGGTTCGGGATCGGAGTGAAAGGATAGCTAGTGTCGGGAAAAAGCCAAGAGCAGAAATCACTCATTTTGCAAATCGAGATTTCAAAGAGTAACATGTATACTAACACACCTCCATTCTTCTCTTCAATTTTAGCAATATAACAGTCAGATTTTTTACAATTCTTATAACTACCCATAAGTCCAAAGCAATAGAAAGGATCTTGATTATTACAAAGATGGTCATTACATTCTTTACATGTATGGAAAGTGCACTTTCCACATCCTTTTTTAACTTTAAAAAAAATTTTTAACATTAACGTCAGATTGAATTATAACCCTCATTTGTTGATGTTCTCAATGTATAACAAGGATTTTTAGTTCTACATTTTTCATTTTTATTTGTCCAACAAAGCTTGGCAACTTTGTTTTCAGTGTTACAATAATCCTCTTTACATGAAATACAGTCAATTTGGTCGTTCTTCATGCACCCTCCACATCCTTGTATTACTAGGAAAGGATTATAATTAGTATGGCAAATCCTTAACGGCATTCCATAAAGGATTTTTTCGATATTTTCCTTACATCCCCCACAAACTTGTTCCAATTTCGATTCAGAATAAATTTTATTCAGTAATTTTTATACATGTAACAGTGAAGTCACAAGGTACCCAAAGTCCGATCATAGAAATTTATCAAACCCCGACCCAAAACTCTACCCTACATTGTTCAATCTTTGTCCTGATGCTGACCCACCCGAATCCTGGATTTTTTTATCCGAAACCCTGACCCGGCTTTTTTTCTCAACTAGTACATACCTGTTATGTACCTTTTCCATCAGAATTTCTATGAACAAAACATTCTTGATCACAATCTTTTATTCCCTTCTTGTGATTCTTTTCTTCCTTTCCTTTATTCAAACAAAATAAAGTCTTGTTAAAAAATTCTTTTGTGTTACATACACTCGTTTTATCACAAATAGCATATTTTAATAAGTTTTCCATTTTCTTTGGTGAGTCCCCACAGCCTTGTTCAACTGAATTATGAAAATATTTACATGCGTATGTGTATTCATGTCGTCCCCTCTTCCCCACAGTGCATTTTATATTTAAAATGTATAATAGGTCATTAGTTTAAAGTCGATCGAAATAGGCAAAAAACATAGATTACGTGGGTTCAAATGTTCGAACTTTTGGTTTAAAAAATTTGATTTTACAAATGATAGCTAAAGTAATCTGAAAGTTAACACAAACCCCAACTTTAAAGAACAAAAAAACTTTTGGGTGAAAATTTTTAACAATTTATTATTTATATTTTCCCTTTACCTTTCTGATCATTGTAATAAGCATAATAGCATTTTCCTTTATATTTCTTTTTACTGCATTCTATAATTTCATTATCATTTTTCCAACAATATCCCATTCCTTGATAGAAATCTTTATTGTTACATATATCTTTTGTGCATGTCCTGCATTGTTTTGCACCCTTGGGGCACTCTCCACATCCTTGCTTTGTATATTTTTCTAACGCTACTTCATCCGTTTTACCTTAGAAATTGAGGAATAAAAAGTATTTTATGCCCCCATAAATATGTACATAGACTTTAACTTTGTTCAAATTTATTAAAGATTTTTGCGTTTTTTTTATTTCCCTGTGTATTTTGGAAAATTTTTTGCCTAAAGGCATACTCATAGTTATGACATTCGAATCTTGATAACATCCCGTTGTCGCGAGCGCACATTGAGACAAAGTTTTCTTTTTCTTCAATTCATTTTCAATTAATGTTATTTTTTATTTATTTTAAATAGATAAATTTTTGTTATTAGAGTCATCTAACAAGGAAATCCTTTTAATAACTTCGATCATACTAATACGGTGAGTAACAACCGGAGAAAACCCCCGGAGTATACGTTGGGATCCGGACTAACCCAACTCTATTTAACATCCAATCTTGTCATCGATTGTAATTAAGATCCAAACGTGTCATCGATTGTCAAAGCCGTCGAGCTTTAGTAAACACTTATAAATTAAGATAAAACATTTCTATTTGCTGACAACTAATTATTTCTGCTTACTCATATTTAAACTTCGACAGAGACTAATCCGTCGAGGTTAGTTAATTGCGCACTAGTTATCAAGAGACAAAAAGATATTTAATATTTTCAGACCGATAAGCGAAACGACAAGGAATCTTCGTTTTGCTTTTGATACCGTAGGTATGTTATCTAGTTTTGAACAGTGAGGTCACGGGATATCTTTAACACGGTATCCGAAAACCGTATCTCAGGACTTTTCTGACCCTAAACTGAAATCGAAACACGGCCTGGCTTTTTTCTCAACAAGTGGCATTCCTAGTTTTGCCATAACTTAAAAATACCTTTAAGAAGATCAACAGAAATAAAACATCTTTTTGTGTAGCATTCCCTAGCTTTATGATCAGAATATTTTCCGTTTATACTTTTTAGACATTTAAATGTATTAAGCAGATTATCTTTTGTATTACAAAATGGTGTTTTACAAGTAAAACACGTATATAGAAAGGCTTCAGGACATTTTCCACATCCAACATTATATTGGTTCTGATAATATAATTGGCTCGTGTCAAATTTATGAGCCCACTCGCCCTTTACACGCCCAATCAACCCTTAGGCTTCCAATAATCATGACAAGGAATGCAGTACTGTTAAAATTGCTGACTTTATTTTTAGCATAAAAACATCCCCTTATTACGGACCACCTTCCCTCTTTGACGGAATAACATCCCCCGCTTTTCTTTGAAAGAAATAATAGTTACAAAATTAAATCCAAATCGAATAAAATTTTCATTGGACGTATAAAGGTGAGATTGGACGCGTAAACTGGACAAGAGCAAAATAATTCCGTACCCAGCCACCGAAATGACATTCGCTTGAACCAGAAGGGCATAGCCCACGCAAATTACCAAGAATATTGCACATAAAAATATTTGTTTCGGCAAATTGTTTCGTGTTGCATAAATTATAGGAGCATCTCTTGCAATGGATTTTACCAGGAGGGCAATATCCACATCCTTGCTCTGTATGTTTTTCATATACGTTTTCCAATTCTCCTTCTTGGATTTAAAAAATTTCAAGTTCATATATACAAGTTTAAAATATAATTTACTAGATATACCTTTAATATCAAAAGCAAAATAACATTCTTCAATGAGGCATTCCTTTCCTTTTGTAAACGTTAATTTCCCGTTACTTTCATAGCATTTAAAGGCTGTATCATAATTATTCCTCGAATTGCATTCTCTTGTGTTGCAGTCAAAGCATATAAAATCTCCTTCGGTACATCTACCGCAACCTGCATTTTGATATCCTATATCATATAAATTACTAATTGGTTTTATCACTCTAGTTTATTCTACCGTCACTATCAACATATATATAACAATATTTTTGTTGGCATACACTGTTGCCAATTACCTCCTCTTCATCACCTCCCTCATAACAATAAAACGCATTTTTGAATTTATCTGCTGTATTACAGTTTCTACCTTTGCAATCGAAACAATGCCTGCTTGGATCACATTTGCCACAATCACCCCAGAATCTATCTTTATATAAAAAAAATCTGTTTCGGTTTACTTTTCCTATTGTCACTTTTGTCCTCCTAAATTTCTAAGTATTTTGTTGAAATACATAGTATGAGAGTGAACTGGGACGTTGCAAAAAACGCAAAAGAAAAGTGAATGAAGGCTTATATTAAAAATTAGACTATGTAGTTCGCAGAACCTTTCCTTCTTTATAACTGCAAACAAACCTTCCTCTCCATCCCAGTTTAGAATATGACATGTATCAACATTTTTCTTACAAGCAATCAAGGTTCCAGGTACATTATGGTCTGCCAAACATGTGTGAAAATGCTGTTGAACAAATTCATGATCATTACATAGATCGTCCGAACAGGAAAAGCAGCTATCGTCATCATCACAACTATCACATCCCTGTATTACTTAAAATAATGTACGATAACTTTGTTTACTCAAAATCATAAACAGAGAATTTTCGGTCCCCGCTCAAATTTTTACGCCATAGTTCAAACAGATTTTCGATATCATTGAGAGTTTAGTTTTTATGATATGATTTTAAGCCCTTATAATTAATTTTTTATGAGATTTAAGAGGTGGATTCGGGATTAAAAGACAATCGGAGTCACAAAGCCCAAAATTCCCCATCATTCTATTCCTAATTAAAATTTAATTACTATTATAATATGGATAGCCTTTATCAGATGGTTTTGTGTCCCAATTGATATTTGTTATCTTAGCAAAACATCCTTGAGATCTCAAGCAATCCTCTGCACCACGACAATGTAAATACTTCTAAAATATTTTAGTTTAGGTATAATACAATTGATATTTGTTATCTTATATCGGGTTCTTAAAAAGAATATTGGTACTATTCGGTTACCTCCAGACATTTTCCTTTTCTTCTGTTACTTTTCACTTCTTGACAAATAGGGTACCGTATTAGTGTTAGGCAAACGCGATAATTCGGTATCGGTATTTTCGGTAAAATATTTTCGGTAAAATACCGATACCGCACAATACCGCGGTATTTTTGATTGAGGCGGTATCGGTATTTCGGTAGAAATACCACGGTATTACCGAAAAATACCGCGGTAATACGGTACCGTGACCAACTCTATACCGTATGCAAAATTTAGAAACAAAACACGGTAATTCTTCGGTTTTACACTAGAGACCGGATCGATACGATATATAGATGGAAAATATCGATATATCGATGTCGATATTATCGAACGATAATTTCTTTGATTCTTTCGATATTTTTCGATAATCGATATCGATATTATCGAACGATCACTCAAGTCCGGTCTCTATTGTATATCTCTTCATTCCGCCCTTATTTTTCATGAATCAAGTATCAAAAAGTTTTATGTATGAGTAATATTTATATACTTTTTCAACAGGATAAAAAAGAGATACATCAAAAATTATAAATAAACTTGAGAAATATCACCAAACAGTTTATGTTCGTTATGTTTAGTGTTGTTACCTGCCTGATGACAGAGCTTAATATACCTAATTATGAATTTGACATAATCATTCATGATACTTGCCTCTTGAAAAATAATGGAGAAAGGGAAGCAAAACTGAAAAATGGTCAGAAAAATAAAGGGGGTATACGAACCGAAGAATTTACCCAAAACACATACCCTTCGATTGAGTATAACAGTACTATACTTTATGTAGCATAGTAGCGTTGGGCCGTAATAATAATTTTTTGATTCCAAAATCAAAAAAACCATAGAAAAAAATCTCCGAACTATATTCCGCACATGAAAATATATAGCTCCTGTATACTATACTTCTCAAAAATGGTAAAAGTCAATTAATTATTTATGAACTCTACAATAAGTACCCTGCTCTATTTTAGACCTAAAAAACTGTTCTAACAAAGATTTATTAGAATACCCATTTTCCGGTACCGTTAATTCTCAAAAAACACCGGTTTTCGATTCCGATTGATTTACATATGTGACAGACTTTAATAGCAATGTATTAAACTCCTTACCTTTCGTTGATAAGGATAAACATTAGGCTATTAAAATGTATAAATTTGATTGTATTAATCGTTAATGCTTATAATTATAAATTCTTACCTGGTATCCACGATTCTAAAATGTTTAGTTTTAATGATTAGTCATCTTTTTAAACTTATTCAGACCAATTCTCAAGAAACCCCAAATCTTTTTGAATTCAACGCCGCAGGCGAAAATTGTGGTAATTTAGAAGGCCAATAAGAAGACTAAATTCTTCTTTTTAGAACGCCGCATGCAGGATATGATAATTTTTTGAAAGAAAATATGCCAAATTTATTCTATTTCTGCTCAACAAGTCAATCTTTAAGGGCGTATATTGTGAAGTCTCGGCGAAGTTCTAGTTGAGGATCGAGACGAGGTTCCGAGACACGAGATCAGTAAAATCGAGATTGAGGTTTGAAAATAGACAATGACCTCGGCAGGCATCGAACTCGACCTTCTCTAGGTTGAACTAATAACATAAGGATTCTACAATGTTTAGATTTGAGTAAAAATAACTATTTAGCACAGGGCTCGCATTCCTACTTTTTTAAAAGTATTCTACTTTTAAATCGACCTCCATGCTTACGAAATTGAATTTATACTTTTTTGAAAGTATATACTTTTTTTTTGATTGAAAATGAAATTGGGGAAGTGATTGGGCGAAAAAGTGAATTTTCTGGCTTACGGCCTCCAAAATTCTCAAAATTTTCGCCTGCGGCGCAAAAAATGGAAGAAATCTTGCTTAAGGACCTCCAAAATTCTCAAAATTTTCGCCTGCGGCGCAAAAAATGGAAGAAATCTTGCTTAAGGACCTCCAAAATTCTCAAAATTTTCGCCTGCGGCGCAAAAAATAAATTTTTTGGCGCCTTCGGCCCCAAGAAAAGATGCATTGAAATTGATAAAATGCTCAGTTAAACAAGAAATTATTAGTTAAGATTCATTTAGGAGAAAAATATGAAAGATTTGAGGACGAATAAATATTTTCTAATTTAATTTTGAGACTACTTTTTTTTTGCAAATTTTCTCCCTATATACTTTTTAATCGAGAGTTTGATACTTTTGAGTGGAATTTTGTCGATGCGAGCCCTGATTTAGCAGAGGCCTTCCAGGATACTAACTTGTTTAAATATAACTAATTTTAATCTACTTAACGTGTAATCAGGTTTATAAAATTACTAGATTTGAGTATATTTACTACAAAACTACCTACATGGATTGCACGAATCTAAAATATTTGATTTTTAGTACTATGTAATTATTAACCTCTTTACCGTTTCTGGGTCAATATAAGTCTTAAATATTTAAATTTGAGTGATACGTTAATATTAATTTCCTTACCCCGTAGTTACGACCATATGAAGTGTTGGGCGGCTAAAATGATTTAAAATAAGATTTGAGTATGTATACTACAAAACTATCTACCTTAAAACCAGTGATCTAAAATATTAAATTTTTAGTTTAGTCTGTATCAGTGCTGGGTATAGCTCCGGAGCCGGCTCCGGCGGAGCCGGAGCTAAGATTTTGAAAACCCCGGAGCCAGGAATTTGAAGTGCCCGGAGCCGGAGCCAAGGGTTTCCAATTCCCCCACGGCTCCGGCTATACACCCCTAAAGATGGGTTAGAGAAAAAGAAGTAAGCAAAGATGTTAGGCGTGAAAAGAAAAGGAAGAGAAAAATGAGACGGGTAAAAAAGATTTTCTTTCCTTTCAATTTCAATATAGGAGTGGTTGAATGGATAGTGAGTTAGGTTTCGAGTTTTATCCAATTATAGGTTCAAAAATATCACAACAAATAATAAATCATTTGTTTTTATTTGGAAAATAAATTATAATAAACATTTTTTTATTAAATGAAGCTGGATAAATTTTTTAAATTGATTAATTTTAGTCTCTTTTCTTTCAAAATTTTCGCCTGCGACGCAAAAAAAGGAAGATTTTTGGATCCAAATTCCCTTAATCCCTCCCCCTCCCCCGATATAGCCCTTAATCCACCTAAATAACGCGATAATCCACCCAAATCCAGCTTAATCCATTGATAACCCTCTTGATCATCTTATATTACTCGATATCCCTCTTTATCTACCCAAATCCCCCAATGAAAAATAATTCATTGATTTTCCACCCGGAGCCAACATGGAGCGGCTCCGAAAATCGCCAGCTCGATAGCCGGAGCCAAGATTTAAAACCCCGGAGCCAAGATTTTGAAACCCGGAGCCGGAGCCAACAAATGGCAAATACCCAGCACTGGTCTGTATACTAAAAACTATTTACATGCCAATCCTCAATCTAAATATATAATTTTTAGTTTGAGTATGTATACTACAAAACTATCTACCGAGTATCCTTCATTCTAAAATATTTAAATTTAGTACTGTGTAATTATTTGCTTTTTTACCGTTTTTTCTCCTCGAACATTAGTCTTAAATATTTAAATTTGAGTAATACGTCAATATTTATTTCCTTACACTGTATTGACTACCAGATGAACTTCCAAACTTTCGGTACGTATTTCTTAACCTCCTTACCTTATAAATAGGTTTCTAAAATGTCTAAATTTGAGTCTATATAATTATAACCGCCTTGCCTTGTATCCACCACGATTCTATAATGTTTTATGGTTAGTCTTTGTACTTATTAACAGACATACCCCGCTTGGTTCAACATAGGAATTTTCAACATAAGAATTCTAAAATGTTTAGTTAGATCAGTATGGCATTTAAAATTTGATTGAAATTTTTATTAAATTTATTAACTATGTAATACTAAAACCAAGGCCAATGATCATAGAGACTTTAAAAGCCGAGGTATGAGTATAGCCGAGGTTTTTATGAATATTTATAACTTTTAAAAATCAGAGTAAATTTACTAAATCATTATCAAATTCATCTTTTCAATCTTATAGTGATTAAGTAGGTAGCCCAAGCGTCAGATTAGATGCGGGTCTGGGGATAATTCATAGAGAAACCCCAAATTCTTAAATCACCACAGGCGAAAATTTTAAAATTAGTCCTCCACCATGAGGATTCATTAATTTTTAAATTTGAGTAAATATAACTATTTAAACGATGGCCTTCCAGGATACTAACTTGCTTAAATATAACTAATTTTAATCTACTTAACGTGTAATCAGGATTCTAAAATTACTAGATTTGAGTATATTTACTACAAAACTACTTACTTGGTATCCACCAGTCTAAAATATTTAATTTTTAGTACTGTGTAATTA